TGTTACCGTATTTGAACAAATGCAATAATGGCTTTCGGTACTAATAAAGAATATTAATGAAGAATATGAATGGATGATTAGTCCATGCACCAAAGATAATGAAGAGAGGGATTTAAGAAAATGAAATAAATGGCAATAATGAGAAAAGTTATAGTCATTTCCTGTTTGAAAGAAAACAAAAGAAAGAGAACAAAAAAGTTTTGTGACGCTGAACTGAATTCCCGATAGATAAGAGGAAACCGGAAATACCCCTTATCTCATACTACTCTTTCGATACAGAATCTAACGTTTTGAAAAAAAAAAAACAATACAAAAATTTCTCATATCGAATTCGAAGTGCCATGCTATTATTACTTAGTATTCATATGGCGAAGGCATAGTCTTCTTTTTTCTCTCAAATAAAAACCTCATTGGCGCCAAGCGTGAGGAAATGCTATACGTTTGGTAAGTTGTCCGGAGAGGTTTCAAAAAATTAAATAAAGTCAATAATTAGAAAATTAACGGAAAAATTCAATTTTGAGGGAAAAAAAAGAATATAATAGTAATGTTGTTCAATGAAACATGTCATCTCACTTTTTGTTACCTAACTTTATATTATATTAGATAGACATATTCCAGCAAAAAGTTTCAATATAGATAGATATATTTCACCGCGGTAAAAGTAATACTACTTAACGTGACCTATGCGCAAGTATATGTATATATTAAAGTGATAGAATGAGAAATAAAATTTTATGTATAATCAATTTTAGAATAAAGTTGATTTGTGATTTTAGTAAAGTAATCTCTTCATAATTATCTTGGTATATTAATCATTGCATAAGAATTCTTATATTATAATTTGTGCATGATTAGAGACCACAAAAAAATCATATTTTCAAATAACAAGCTTTACTGATTTTTTTCGCATAGTGCATTTCATCCACCATCTTCTTTCTTTAAAAAGTTCAATTTTTTCCCAACGTGATCGAAATAATTATCTACCTCAAAAATAAATACCAAAAAGGTGACTTAATTAACAATATGTACTTTATTAGAAAGGCCTTTTTACGTTTTAGGGCAAATATGATAATTTGCATGTTAACACATCCATACAATAAATTTTTTTTGTGAAAGACAGTGACGTTATTATACTTACATCATGATATGCCCCCAGCTATAATAGGCATTTTCTTATTATAGATCGATCAACTTTAATTCTAATAATTTAGGGCAAAATGAGAAACAAACATTTGACGTAAGAAGTAATACACGAGTACATCCATACGAAACTACCTTAGTATCTCCATTACTCTTTGCATGCCGATCTCCTCAAGAACTTGGGAGTAACGAGTTAGGGTCTAGAGATTTTTAATTTGTTGTACTGCATGAAATGTAATTATATAAACTATAAATAAATATTGAAAAAAAAAAAACTTACTCCTTAATATATATATATATGGTGCAAATTTTTTATTAAAGTAACTCCAATTTGATGCTGAAAAATATTTTTAAAAAAAGTTGTTCATACAATTAAACACAAATCAAAGTGCGACATATATAAGTGAAAATACTTTTTTTTTTAAAATCAATTTGTTTGATGATAGAAATAAAAATTTAATGTGAGAGAAGTATATACTAACAACAATATGATAGATTACATACAAAAGTGGATCTGCATGCACTTGAAGTTATGGGTTTATAACCAAGACTCAATAGCTTTAATTTGATCCAAATCTTATAAATATTTATATGAAAAAAATTCACTTAATATATATAAATAATTCCATTTAAAACAACCCAAAAGGCAAAAACAATTCATATATATTAAATTCTTAAAACAACAATAACCCTTCGCTAGAACAACCAACAATTTCTTCAAAAATTCATTAAGTAAAAGAGTCTATAATAAAACTATAGATTTAATTAAGAAATTCATGGATCAGCTTTCTTTGGCTTTTTGGGCAATGCAGACTTTTTTGGTGATCCCTTCCTCTTTGCTTCAATAGTCCTATAAAAATTAAAGTAACAAAATAATTAACAACAACACAAAGAAAAAAAGAAAATAATCATGACAAAAAAATTTTAAAAAAATGTAAGGCGCAAATCGCAATTACCTTGATGATGACGCAAGTTGGTGAGATTCAACAGGTTGCGAAACCTCAGTTGAATGACTTGTTATTTCTTGATCAACTTCTTTACTAAGCCCGGGAACTTTCACGGGCAAGGGTTGCGTTAGGACCAACCCACAGAATGGACAAGTCATAAGTACCTTATTGTCAACAACAGTTGTCATCCCATAAATATTTGATGAATCATATTGAAAGTTTACAAAATTGCTCATCGAATCTAACAATGACAAAAATAAATGTTAAAAGATGACAAAATTATCTAAAATTTGCAAGCAAACAAGACATTTTCTTATTAATAATACATTGTAACTCTTTATATGATATTGAAATGTAAAGTGATAATCTTGTTTATTTGTGCTCTTTATAACTATGTGTTTATGATAAATAATTTTATCTACAAGAGAAACGGGGAGTGGAAAACCTAACAAATTATTAACAGTTGCATAACTAAACAAGTAAAGACAGATACAATGAAAAAAAATCTATGTTAACGATCAGAGTAAATATGCATCGACATTAGTTAGTATAACGAGGAAATTTATGTACATTTTTTAATGAGGGGTATATTATTTGCCCCTTTCTACACAATATTCTTTTATGGACAATTTTAGATCTAGGGATCGATCCATTCAAATTCGAATGGTAATAAGAGTATTATTTCCCGGATCTAAAGGATGGGTTAAAGTATTTTGAGAAATTTACTCTTTTAATTATTTTTTAAAATTTCTTTCACCTTGCGACCACCAATTAATAAATCGTTTCATCAATAAATTGTAAATTTTTAGAACCATGATCTCAAATAGTTGACCAAATTTTGTTAGACATTTAATTTATATATGCAATGAAAAAAAGACCTAACTAATTTGCAAGAGTAAAATAAATGAATGAATGTGATTACAAAGAATATAATGAAATCACAACATTAATTCCACAGTTCATAAGAATTTTATGTATTAAAAATGAATTCTACATTGTTTTAATGATTAAGATTGATAAATTTACCTCGAACAGGACTCCAATCCGTATATATGCCCATTTCCAAATCAATTCTGTTGGCTTAGTAAAATAACCAAAAAGATTTTATTAAGCTTGATATTGAGAGAAAATAATATATAAATACACACAAATATTTAATTAATTTTACTTTAAAGTTTATAAAATAGAAAGGAAGAGAAAGAGAGGAGGATATGCATATTGAAAATATTGGAATTACCTTCACAAAAAAGTTTATTGAATAAAGAAAAGTGAGTGAGTTATAACTTTATAATAAACAGTACTATATATTTAGTTAAGATTATACTAATTTTAATTATTATCCGCACTTAGTGTTTACACCAAGCCAATACAATTTCCATTATTACGTGATTTAATGAAGTAAAACATATGTCAATTAATTATGATTAAGTAAAATAAACTATAAATTTAAACACGTGACATACATGTTTTGACTTAGTGTATACATTCTGTGAGGGTAAGTTTTACCCAAGATCTCATCTAAATACAAATTTGAACAAACTAAAAGGAAGGTATATATATATGATAGATATGATAAACTAATTATATTCTTACTAGTTATGGTGTTGTGGTGTGAACACGTTATTTTAAGACAACTTAATTAATTGATTAGATCATTTGGATATTATCTACATATAATATAAGACATATGTAATTATTGTAATTATAAAGTTTGACTGATTTTTTCTAAAACTTGACCAATATATTCAACGTATATATTTAATTTTTTATGTCATAATATAATGGGGGTTGAGGTGGGGATGGGGTAGTTGATATATATTTCTTTTAACAAATGACGAAGTTAAATTTTTTGCTTAAAAAATTTAAAATATAAAGAAATTAATCTACGAAAAAGCCAAAAACAGTTACTTTTTATTATTTTTATTACTCAATAAATTTTAAAAAACGTTAATTTTTTTTATGGAGAGAATATTTGTTTGTCTTATCTTAGATCTGAAAGCATAATACATTATATATGACAAACCATCCAAAAGAAAGTGATATCTTTTTCTTTTTTTTAATGTAGTATTCTTTTCAAATATAGTACCAACTTCTCATTGTTTTTTTTAAGTGATAGTAATATTCGATTCATCGATTTGTACATATCTTGAAATTTTTATGAGACATTTATATAACAATAGATATTAGAGCCACAAGAGCATAATTAAGTGGTTCGGAGGTAGGTCTTCCACATAGAAAATCAAAAATCGAATCTAGCCTCCTTTTGTATATTCAGGCATAAGCTTATGGTGTGAAAATTTTCTAATGTGATCATTTTATCAAAAGGCATTTGATTTTGATTAGTTATCAAACTTAATTATACAAAAATACAAAGGTTATCAAACTTAATAAAAAATTAAATAATATTATTATTCCTATTATTTTACGTAATTTCTAAATAGTACTCTCTCCGTCTCAACTTATATGACGCATATCGAGATTCAAATAAATCTATTTCTTATTATCAATTTTGTATATATTTTTTAAATATTTTAAATTATCAATTATTATGACTTATAATACTCTTTATGTAGTTATATATATATATATATATATTGTTTAAAAAAAATTAAATATTTCATACATAAATTTTTAATTAAAATTAAATTATTAAACCCTCGAAAACTGAAATATGCAGAGTAAATTGGAGCAACGAGTCATATTCCGAATCAAGCCAAATAGTATAGGGAAAGAATAGAGCAACCTATTGCTGACTAAGCATCTTGGACAATTACTGACGTTTGATATATATTTTTAAAAAGACCGAAGCTTTATATTTTTTCTTTTTTTTAAATTCATCTCACACAACCAAAAAGTGCAGCTGTACTTTTATATAGGATGAGATGATTCAACTTCACAACAAAAATCAAAACATATATATTTTTGAGAAATTAAACTAACTTTAGTTAACTATAAGGTTAATTAGATGGAGAGGCCAGAAAGAATAGAAGATGGATTTACAACCACTGATCCTTTGCTTTCTACTGGTGGTGATACTCCGGCGTCGGCCACACTCGCCGTCGTATTCAGCACCTTGGTTGCCGTCTCCGGCTCCTTTGTTTTTGGTTCTGCTGTAAGTTCATTTTTGCTTTCGACTTTAATTTGGAAGAAAATAGTATTATAGGTAGGGAAAAGGAAAAAGAAAGTTCATTAAGATTTATGAATACAATTATAAGAAGTTTTAAGTTAAAAAAAGTTGGGAAGTATTTTTAAAATTATGTTTTTGAACAAATTAAAAAGTAACACACTTGAGTCAGTGTAATAGGGTTTATCAAATGTAAATTTGTAACACTGTTTTGGATGGAAGGGTCCACTGGTTCTACTCATAAATTGTTCTTGGTTTTTATACCCCTAGATTTTCTTATGGTATAATTATGAACCCCTGAAGTTTTTGAGTATTACACCATGCCTGTGAAGTTTTTAATATGCAAGAAGATTAAGGTTTTATAGTTTCACTGTTGTCCTTTAATATGTTGTCATTCATATGCAGGTGGGATTTTCTTCACCTGCTCAGAATGGGATAATAAAGGATCTTGGCCTCTCTGTGGCAGAGGTCAGTTCTAACATTATCCGAAAAGGAATTGTGTGTATTATATATATGCGCTCTCGAGACAATATTTTTTGCTTACTTACCAAAAACTTAAATGAATTTATGGTCTTGTATGTACTCTTTCAGTACTCTGTATTTGGTTCAATATGGACAATTGGAGCAATGATAGGTGCTATAATGAGTGGGAAACTAGCAGATCTTTTCGCCCGGAGAGGTGTAAGTTTTCAGTTTGTTGGTTAAACATCTTCACTAAGTTTAGTAGTACATTCTAATTATTCATGTCTAATCATGCAGGCAATGGGCTTCTCTGAGTTGTTTTGTCTTTTAGGATGGCTCGCAATTATTTTTGGCAAGGTGTATATTCATCTTAACCTTCGTTTCCACTTTTATGATATAGTTGTTCTGTCTAGATCAATTTTATTTTTATATTGTTTGTGATCATCAACAGAATGCTTTGTGGCTTGACATTGGGAGGTTGTTAATGGGATATGGAGTTGGCATTATTTCTTATGTGGTAAATATTTACACTGAGCGTTTATTGAACAGGTTTAATCTATCTTACATTATAAATGACTCTGCTGTTGTTTTCCACACATAGGTACCTGTATATATAGCGGAAATAACACCTAAGAATCTCCGAGGTGCATTCACAACTGTTAATCAGGTAATCCAACAGTTCTGGTTTTCATTTTTTGTTTTATGGTGACAGCTGATCGTCTTTGTATGCTTTTGATGCTTCAGCTAATGATATGCTGTGGAGTATCACTTATGTATGTAGTTGGAGTAGTCATCAACTGGCGTCTATTGGCTGTGATTGGTAAATTTATGTTCTTTCTTTTTCCTTTTGAAAGCCTCTTTCTATGGACATGTTTATTGATCCAAAGTAAAACATAATTCCAGGAGCTATTCCCTGTATAATACAGCTTTTGGGCCTGTTTTTCATACCGGAGTCTCCGAGATGGCTGGTAAGATCGTACAACTTGATCAACGTTTTTTCACAACTAGGTTCTGATGTATTCAGAATGATAAAAATTGCATTTCCTTTACAAGAAACTGAAGTCAAAGCCTGATGGCGATGTTTTTGTTGACAGGCTAAGGCTGGCCAGTGGAAAGAGTGTGAAGCTTCTCTTCAGCGCCTTAGGGGGAAGGACGCCAATATATCAGAAGAAGCTGCTGAAATAAAAGTAAATTCCTGACTTTCCATGAGTGAAAGCATTGTATTATCTCTTTTATTTTGATTTCCATTACCATATTTGTATGATTGGTAAGATAAATAATGCTTAATTTGTATCATCACTTGCAGGAGTACACAGAAACACTTCAGAAACTTTCTGAGGCTAAGCTAATTGATTTGTTCCACAAGAAATATGCACATTCTCTTATAGTAAGACAACCTTTAGTTTTCTCTGACGGAACAACTGATCTTTTATCCTGTGCGATTAATGAAGTTGTTATACTTGTCTGTTAATTCATCCAGGTTGGAGTGGGATTAATGGTATTGCAACAATTTGGAGGGGTCAATGCTATTGCATATTATGCAAGTTCAATTTTTGAGTCAGCTGGTATGTAATGTTCCTATAAGATTGGTGTTTCATTGGTTGCTTGTTAGTAGAAGATAAAAAGTGAAATCTCAGTATCTGAATCGCAAAATATATCAGGTTTCTCTGGTAGGATTGGTTCAATTGCAATGGTAGTTGTACAGGTAAATAATCTCAATGTGCTAAATCAATTATGAGTTTGCTCCATCAGATTTTGAGTGTTTGGTGATCTGCAGATCCCAATGCAAGTTTTAGGAGTACTCTTGATGGATAAATCAGGAAGGCGTCCACTACTTATGGTAAACATTAATTACTAGAAATCCTTTTCATTGATGTTGGTTTTTTTTCCGTATAACGATTAAAAATGTTATTATGGTTTTCTTCAGGTATCTGCTGCAGGGACATGCTTGGGCTGTTTCCTTGTAGGATCGTCATTCTTACTACAGGTTTTACATTTGAAATCCATAGACCATATCTTACTAGTGTTTTGCGTCCAATTCATTTTCTGATAAAATGTAGTTCTTCACAGGATCTTCAACTTTGGAAGTCTAGCCCCTTTTTGGCACTTGTTGGCATACTGGTAATGCAATTTCATCCTTTCATACGCTTTGCCCGGATGATTCTGTATGTAACACTATTTGGATCTGCCAGAAAATTACTCTGCTATTTTCGATTATCTTCATTATTCTAAATCATTCAATCAACTATGCCTGTATAGCAAAGTAGTTGAGGTTAACAATGAAATATACTGGTATGCAATTTTCATTCTTTTATGCGATCATGCTGGATCCTTCTTTACATAATATCATTACATCTGCTGGGAAATAAGTCAACTTTACCTCAACCCTAACATGCTCTGGCCAGCTATATGAACCAGGCTCATTTCATCCGAATACTAAAGATTACTTCTTTAATTTTTTTGCTTATATAGTGACAGACAAGTCTCTAACTAGACAAAACCGTAGTTCTACTTCTTTGAGATTTAAGTAGTAAAGTGTTTCTCAAAGTCTACTTTGATCCATAGAGGAAGTTAATGAAGAGAGGATTAATGTTGTGAATCAAATATGTCGTAACTGCTGCCAGGTCTTTACTGGATCTTTCTCATTAGGCATGGGAGGTATACCGTGGGTAATTATGTCTGAGGTTTGTAGCTCTCAAACTTACCTAATTAATTATGAATGCTACTATTACCAAAATCAACAATAACTTAAGCTTACTGTTTGTATCTCAGATATTCCCCATAAATGTCAAAGGTTTAGCTGGAAGCCTAGTGACAGTAGTCAACTGGTTCGGTTCTTGGATCGTCTCATATTCATTCAACTTTCTTATGCTATGGAGTTCTGAAGGTACTGCCTTGTCCATCAATATCCATTACTGCAATCCCGATATTGGGCTTTTCATGTCGTCACAGTAGTGTGCTAATACCAAATTTATTGCTGAAAGTGTTATGTTTATTGGTGTTTCAGGAACATTCTTCATATTTTCAGCAGTATGTGGTGTAACTGTTATGTTTGTGGCAAAGCTGGTTCCAGAGACCAAAGGGCGTACCTTGGAAGAAATACAATCCTCCATGAATTCCTTTACATGACCAATGAATTTGGGTTATTTGCCAAAAATACTTACTAAATAATGACAAATTGTATGGACAAACACTATCTGCCATCCAAATTTTACCTGAGAAATATATGGCCAAACGGGTCCGTAGTTTGGGCTTATTGCATGTACTCATCAAATCACACCAAATAGAATCACTTTGTAGATGATAAGCAATAAAGAGAGCCTACCCTATTTATTTATTTTTATATAAAATGGTCTAATAATATATAATTATAGATTGAGTACCACTTCAATCATATAACGCTATAAATAAGATAGCTAACCTTCTCGATCTCAATTACCATTACCATGCATCGACAATCAACTATTCAAATCGATATTCAGACACCACCACAACTAGCACCGCCTGGCTGCAGACGTGGCAAAGTCCTAGCAGGTGCATCAAACCTAATTTTACCAACAGGAACCGTGCTAACTTTCCAAACTCTAATTCCCTCTTTCACTGACGGAGTTATCACTCACAAGTACCTCACCTTAGGCCTGTTTCTTCTCCTCCTTCACGAACAGTTTCATCGATCAGAAGGGAAAAATACACTATGGAATCGCGTATCCGAGAGGCTTCTGCGTATGAGCATTGAAAGAATATTTAAGAGAATGGACTTTATTCGTGCCCTTGTATCACTGATCGATGGGCTTCTTGACGTTTGCAATAGGTGATGCAAACGTAAAAGATTGTTATTGTCCCAAATCTAACACCAACATGGATTTAAGCTTTGTTCATGAATTTTCTTTACTATTTTTCCTACTACTCGTAGGGGAATTGGCTATGCCGATACACCTAGAGAACCTCCCAACTATGTGCATGCCTCTTCTTCCTAAAACTAACCCAAATCCAACTAAAGAAAAAAAGACGCAAATCCAACTAACATATAGTACGTAATGAATTGTTCAAAGTTCAACAAAGAATGTTTAAATTATTATTTTTTCATATTTGTACTTTCCTTTAATAAAGTTTGATATTTTTTAAGATATAAATTACACTACTTACAAATATATATTTATGATTTCACAAAGATAAAAATATTTTTCTTAATAATTATTGTGCACATTTTCATGGAAGATCACCCATTCAAGTCAGTCTATTTGTCTTTCTCCTAATGGTTTCACCAGAATCATTAAATATTGTCTCCCAATTCTCTCTCTTATACTTTAGTAAAATCTCTCAATGTTTTCTACTTCTTTTAATTTTCTAGGATATTGTTAGATGCACTCTATTTAGTCCTATTTAATTCACTTCGCTAATGATTCTTATAGAATATATATATGATGACCATACTAGATCTATATAACATAGATCAATCAGTTTAATAAACATTAATTAGTTCAAAATTGTATCTAAACTTAATATATTTATTTAAACTCATTAAAAATTTATTTGCCTTGACTTTAGGAGAAGAAAGATAAAGATAACTCTTGAAGCGTATAATGTATACATAATTGGAGTAATAATTAGCGCTCGATGAGGCATGCTAGAGGTGACGAAAGGGAAAGTGGATATATAGGGAGGAACTAAAATAGAGGTACACCGTATATACAAAGACACTAATAGCTACCTATTTTATTCCATATTATATATTTACTAATCATATAGTTCAAGCATATTATTAAACACCCAGCAAGTAGAGTCGGTACAACTAAACTTCTATTAATAGTTTGTTAAACTTTTCGGTGGCGTAGGCAAGATTTTCTTTTAAGTGGTGTCAATATTTATAAATAAATAATAATTAATTGATATAAAAACTATTTAAAACATACTAATACAACATAAATCAGGTAAACTACTACAACTCTCCTCGACGAGTTTTCATATTTTGAAATGTATTCATAATAGTCTCATTGGAGATAGTACTAAATATTTATTTTTCTATATAAGGCATCAAACAATCATATCCATTCAATTTCGTAAATCAGTCTTAATCAACTTCATCACCCAAAAAACTCTCTCAACTGTAGCAGTAGCCACCAATACATTTAAATAAATTAGGTAACTTGAAATTGCAATAATTAAATCTATAAAAAGTTGATGAATATTCAAGAAATTCCAACTAAAACTACAAAGATGGAAGATAAAAAGAAAAGTGAACTTAAAATTAAGAGAAAATCACAGTAGCATCAATCCTTCAACACAACAGCACTTGCAATTTGCAAACTTGGAGATTTCTTTTCAATTTAGGTTTTACTTTATAACTTATTATTGTGTCCGATTCCAATTTGAACAAGTAATGAAATTTCTATAACAGAGAATAAGTTGTATTCTAGTTCAATTAATTTATTTTAAGCTAATGGTTGGGAGGTTCGAATTTTTTTTTGATGAACTTTTCACAAAACGCCCCAAAAATAAAAACAGAAATCGGCGTTATTGGGATTCAAACTCATGCTCGCTGAAAGGAATAATCGTTTCACTCGTTGTGCAACTGCAAACCAACAAACCAAAGAGCTGGCTTGTTCAAGGAGTGTCCTTAATAATATTTGTATTTCTTTTTATATTTTTTTCAGATTTTTGTATATGTATATATACTAAAAAAATTTAACAAGATAGTGTCGATTGATACCCCTTGGTATAAGGTGGGTCCGCCCCTGAGTCACTTCTAGATTCCCTTTCCGAAATAGGAGTGTTATTATTTTCTGGGTAATACACCAATATTTAGAGGCGAATTCAGAATTTAAAGACTTGAGTGTGTCAATATCAATATTATATTAATTTAGGCATGGTCACTAATGACTCAAATATGAGCTTGAGTGTATCAATATCAATATTATCTTAATTTAGGCATGGTCACTAATGAGTGAAATAAGGTTCTAGTTGAATTCAAATTCTGATCTAGCGGATAGTTTTTTTTGTCTTGTACCAGCGACACAAGGGCATACATATGCTCTTCATGGTACATTGTTATTATATCCTACTTTCTGTTTGTTTCTCAAAATAAATATAAAAAAAATAAATTCAAATATAACAGATTCCCACCAAATAATGTGGATCCGCCTCTCCCTATCTTATTATTCGCCAAGGATGAAAAAATAAGTAAATTGTATGAGGATGGAAAATGGGACCCAAAAGAGAACCGAATGGTAACCTCCCCATCCAGATCCAGCTCATTTCTTCGCTTTGCTGGCCCTTTTTCCGCCACATTTTATTATCCGAAATCAGTTAATAATATCATACATTTATATGTAAATGTTTTGTCAGAATTTTTCTTCTTTCTTTTTTCCCTTAATGTTATCTGCCATTTGTTATGTTTCTGATTAATTAAATTGAGTTTCTTTCGAAAATAATTTATCTATTTTCAAAAGATAATGATAAGATCTATCTATCCTTCAATTCTGAATCATATCTATGGAATTATGGATATATTATTATTATTATTATTATTGACAAAAGAAATAAAACCAAGTTTTCCTTTTTAAGGGGAATCTTTTACGCAGCCGATAGATTATTCGAATCTAGGAGGATTCGTTTTCAAAAATGGGGAATGTATACATGCAATTTGTAGTAATCGTCCTTCTGTTTTAAAAAGAATGACTTAGTTTTTTTTTAGTCTGTTTCAAAATAAATGATCACTTTCCTTTTTTGACAACACTTTAATTTTAATTTTTCACGTGGCATACTTAAGACTACAAAATTAAAGAACATTTTGGTATATTGAACATAATTTTAATTTAGAACCCACTACAACATTTTATGCCTTCAACCACCCTAGAAAAGTGTGGCCTAAACTATCAAAAAATGTAGCTTTTGATCAAAGGCCACATTTTTTTACTTTAGGCTACACTTTTCTGGGGGTGGCCTAAAGCAGTGTAACCTAGACTTTAGGCCACACTTTTCAAGTGTTGTCTTATCAGCTACACTTCAAAAGTGTGGCCTATAATGTAAAAAGGCAACGCTTTGCATTACCTCTTATAGTATTCTTTCTTTATTTAAACTCCGTTCCAAGTCAAATTATGTCATTCTTTTTTAAACGGATGTAGTATATATTACTCCCTCCGTCCCATTTTATATGTCATCTCTTTCTATAAATAGCTGGACCACAATACTTGTCATTTTATAAAATTTATGCATAAATTACCATATTTTGCCTATTATACCCTTGATAGAATAGTTAATTAATCTTGTCATTTATTAATAAAATTGACTTAAGAAAATATTAAATAAGGGTAGAAGGGTAAAGTTACATCATTTCTTAATATAAGTGCAAAGTAAAAATGTGACATATAAAATGGGATGAAGAGAGAATAATAATAATATGGGAAAATTACACCGTAAAGCAAACTTATACTACTTAATTACTCATCATAGCTATAGTTTGCTATAATTACCACTCACGACTAACATTATACATTAATTACGCGGGCTGACTTTGAGTTTGTATAATTAGTCATGTTTGTATATGTATAATTCGCCAGAATATACAAATACATATGTATAATATACAATTATCTAGCCAATATACATATACAATTCACCTCTCTCCCACTTTCTGCCCTCTCTCGCCCAATCTCGCTCGCCTCTCTCCTCCCTCGCCCAATCTCGCTCGCCTCTCTCCTCCCTCTCCCAATCTCGCTTGCCATATATACAAATGCATATGTATAATATACAATTATCTAACATATATACATATACAATTCACCTCTCTCCTACTCTCTGCCCTCTCTCGCTCGCCTCTCTCCTCCCTCTCCCAATCTCGCCCGCCTCTCTCCTCCCTCTCCCAATCTCGCTTTCCATATATACAAATACATATGTATAATATACAATTATCTAACCTATATACATATACAATTCACCTTTCTCCCACTCTTTGCCCCCTCTCTCTCCCAGTCTCGCTCGCCTCTCTCCTCCATATAACATGTAGCTACGAATTGTAATTATCAAACTATAGCTATGAAAAGTAATTAGGCTATTTTTGAGTGGCTATATGTGAAAGTTCCCCTAATAATATTCATAGAGTATTGCAAAAATATGGTACCATTGTGGATGTGGATAATAACTCCTGCAAATTGTAGTCTCCACCTAAATTTACAATTATTTTCGAAATATAGCCTTTAAAAAGGTTCCTAATTTTTTTGTACTAATAACAAGGTCAGAGCCCATAGGAACTACTTAATTAAGTACATACTAAGTAATATATTATCAATATGTTTCCTTTCTCTAATTGGTTCACAGTCTCTGTGGCTATGTGGATTCCTTAACATCAATAATTTGTTAGGTGAGATTTTTTACAAAATTATTTATTTGGAGTCTCTCAAAAGGACGGACATTATTTGCAATCGTCACTCCCAACAGTAATGGTGCTAAGAATTCTGACAACTACTAAACAACATTAAATTTTATTTTTATAAAAAAAATTGTCATACACCTAATAGGCTAATAATAATATTTGGAGTTTAATATCATTTTATTATTATGGAAAAAAAACTATTCAAAATTCTTTTTTTCTTATTTCTTAATGTTATAAAAATATTTTCCGTGGAAACCTAACTTGTAAAATGAAAAGTTTTATACCTAGAAAACTTAAATAACAAATGTTAGCTTCGTCACACAAGGAAAATCTTTAAATGATGAAAAAATATAGTATATTATTTTAATTTATATGAATGATTTATTAAACTATCGAAAATATTTTTTCAAAATCTGTACGCTTATTATTGTTCATTTTAGAATTTTTTTTGTTTTTTATTAAGCTGGTTATTGTAATTTTTTAAAAAGAAAATTAATATATATATATATAATAAAAATGTTATAAAGAGATAATTATAAGATAAAACGCTATATAAAAAATTGTTGTGAAGAAGAGGTCATCTTTTTTAGATAATATTTTATAGGAAAATACGCAAATTTCTATGGCAGGAATTGGTGCAGACAATAAAAGGAAAATAGTGGGCAAATAATAATAAATTAAACAAGTTCCGAGTCTCCATGCCATTACCCTGCCCCAAAAATGTTCTTCCATATATAGACATCCTTCTCTTCAGCCGTATCTATACTATGCAGACCTCATCTTCTTTCTATTTTCTCATTTTATCCTCATACTAACTCGTTTCATTTCATTTGGTCTGTATATTAAAAATAAATAGAATTTGTAAGTTTAATGACGTAATTTATGTATGAGATGGATATGAAAGTAAGACTTCATATGAATGTCATCTTAAAGAAAGAAGTTTCAAGTATTTTGTGTTTGTTATTAAAGGAAAAAAAATTAATTAGGATGTCACTCACAGTGCAGGCAAAATAAATAAAAAATTGCATCTGGAGTCTTGTGTGGTAAGAAGGTGCCACTAAAATTTAAAGAAAAGTTTAATAGAATGGTAGTTAGACTAATTACATTTTGTGAGACATAACATTGACTAGTAAAAAATATTCATAATCAAGAGTTGAAAGTTGTAGAAATAAGGATGTGTGCGCGATACTAGGGGATGTAAGACTAAAAATGAGTTCATATTTGAAATAAAAAGTGGGAGTGACTTCACGGTGGAGGACAAAATGCGAAAAACGAGATTGAAATAATTCAGACATGTGCAGAGGAAATGTTCGAATATCCTAGTGTAGATGTGTAAGAGACTAGCTATAGATAATTGGAAAAGAGATAAAATTGGACTATCTTTCCTTAAATCAAGGGACTATCGAAATAGCTCTATCTACCTTTGAAGTAGAGATAAAATTTATGTACACTCTATCCTCTTTCACATTCTTAATTTATGTATGCATATATTAAAAGTAGACTAGGTCATGAAACACATGGAAACTATGGGAATTTAAAGTATTAAGTTATAAGGTTAAAAGATACTTCCTCCGTCCCATTTTATATGGGCACCTTTTTACTTTGTATTTGCATTAAGAAATGTTGAAACTTAACTTTTCTATCCTTATTTAATATTTTCTTAAGTCAACTTTATTAATAAACGACAAGATTAATTAACTATTCTAACAAGGATATAATAGGCAAAATATGATAATTTATGCATAAATTTTATAAAATGACAAGTATTATGGTCCAGCTATTTATAGAAAATGATGACATATAAAATGAGACGGAGGAAGTATGTGGTTTAGGGATAATTGTTGTCATAAAAAAAATGTGACATCCCCTTATTTATACCTAGTTATACATAGAAATATTATCTCATCTTGAATTACATACTCTATTCTTTTAGAAGAAAAATCTCAAAGCCCTTATATATAATATCCAAATCTTCCAAGCTAAGCCTTAAAAGCATACTATTATATGATGACGAGCTTTTGCAGTGAAAAAGTCTACCCTTTCTTGTGTTTATCAAATTCCAAACACAATGGAACACTTCTAGACTTTTCCCTCCCCTGCCTAAATATTTTCACCGCCGCATCAATCGGCGGCGACAACTTTGACCCTCAAAACACAACCAATTACTCCATGACACCACCAGCCGCCGCCGCCACAGGGAAAAAGGATCCCGTCGGAATTGGGTTCTTAGACGAAGTTGGAGGGAGTGTTGATGGATTAATGTCTTGTACAGAGAGTCTCGGTTTCGAGAGCTCCGATGAGAGGACAGTAGATGATCAAATTGAGGATCTAGGTTATCGTGACGAATTAGCTTTGTTGTCTAGGAAATCAAATTGTAGCAATAATAATTCAAGGTGCTGGCAAAGAAGTCATTTGGGCGAGAAGAAAGAAAAGAAGGAGTTTCCACCGCCATTATCGTCGTTGAGTCAAGATGGAAAGCCCAATTTCTTCATGCGTGCGGTGAGGAAAGATGGACGGTTAGAATTGACAGAGGTGAAAATTGATCGGCCCGAAACTTTCCGTGCTTCCCGCCAAGATGGACGGCTGAGATTGCATCTAATTCGCGATCTCGAAGAAGAAGAAGAAGACGAAGATTTTGCCGTGGAAACAGAGGAAGACGTAGAGGAAGTAATTGAAGAAGAAGATATTGAAGAGTGGAGGTTTCCGGTGACGGGAAGTGGAATTGGAGATAGTCATCGGAGATGTTACGGCGACCATGGTAATAACCACCACCATCACGACCGTAATTTACATTTGTGGAGGCAACGGTGTGTGACAACTAGGTGAATTTAAATGAAGCCATCCATGTGAATCTGTTTTTCGTTCAACTACGTACTCTGCCATTTGCGGGGAATCTAAAAAAAAAAAACTGAAAATATGAGGACCCAATGAAGTAGGAATTAAGAATCTGCAGGCGGCAGCCACTGAAATTAAGAACCTTGAATTGCGCTAGCAGTTGGAAAAAAGCATCGGGATTCTGTTTTGCATCAGAGCAGTATCGGCGCAGAGAGAGAGAAGAGAAGAATCAGTTACCTAAATTTCTGAAATGAATACAGTATAGAAAAAATCAAGAATTATTTTTAGTTATCTTGTCATTTCATTAATGGTAAATAGAATAAAAAAATTTAAAATTAAATTTATTTCTAATTATAATAAGGTACTCTAGTACTTAATATTTTTTATGAAATGAACTACCCAGAAAAACATCAATCATACGGAAGCACCATATGAGATGGTTCTGGCGGCGATGATTTAAAAAAATAAAATTATTTACTTGATTTGCACACCCTTATCACATAAGCAAAATAATAAAATAGGGCAGTGTCAATCCTTACGCAAGGGGATTCGAGATTAAATTAAAGGAGAGAATAGTATATGATGATTGGTCGAAATATGACATTATAGTCACTATAGCTTAGTTATTGTGATTAAATTAGTTTGATATCTTATCGACTGTAAAGTTAAGAATTTTAGTTTGATAGTTTATGATTTTTAGAATAATAATTTTAAGTGGTAATTATTATATGCCTTAAACTCAATAATTATAGCAGCAGTATATAATTTATAGAAAACATCCTTTATTTAACTTGAAAATCTGACTTCTAAATATTAAGTGTAGTAATAAGACTCCTAACTATTTTTAAAAAAATAAATATTTTGTCTTGTAATGTTTTTTTTAATGCTAAATTTAGTTGAGTGATTTTATTGATAGAAAAGCCTAAGTTGAGTGATTTTATAGATAGAAAAAAATCTAAGTTGAGTGATTTTATTGATACAAAATAAAATTTACTTAATAAATTCTTAAAATTGAGTGACATTTTGAGATATTAACTCTGGTATATTAAGCCTTGTGTGTTTTATTAGGGCACGAACAATGCGTGATGGAATCAATAAGAAGAAGATATGAAAACTGATAATGAAGTGGTAAATATGTAATCATATGATTTGTGGTAGATGAAGGATTGGACAGATGTATAATTGTAGTTGAAGTTGGGCAGGAAATCAGAGATGAGGCAATAATGACACAAATTATGGACAACTGTGTGGGGACTAAGAAAAATACATCTCCAAAATTAATTGAAAAAGACGTAACGTAACGTAAACATGGAAATGACACTTAATAATTACTCTTCCCAGCATAATAAAAAAATATACTCCTATGCTGTTTTTTATTCAAGATATACATGTTTTGATGTATTTCTATTTTTCTGTTCTATTTTATATAGATAGAGAAGAGCCATGATTAGAACGATCAATGATTAAAATGAGTTCTAGAACCATTTAATTTTCTTTCTCATCTAAAAAAGTTAAATTGGATGATTGATTCGATGATGTCCTACAAATAGTTGCTTATTTTTAGAAAATAATTGAAAGTTTTAGTTAAGCTGACCACATCCTTCTACGCTTGCTCCTCTTTAAGTTTCTCCACTATACGATTCAAGTTTAAAACAAAAGTGAATTCAGAATCTAGATTTAAAGAAATAAATTTTTGCAACTAATTTTGTTGTACTATTAAACTTATGAGTTTATATCTAATATTTATTAAGATTTTAATATATTATCTATATATTTATATTTTGTATCGTAAATTCTGGGTTCAAATGAAAATTATACTGTGTGTGGCCTCACAAATTTATTTCTTTTTTTATTTGGAATTAGTTTTGTTCCATTTGTTTAATTATAATAATTGTGTAAAAGGTATTCATATCCTTCCTGCTCTAAATTTAACTCTCTCAAATTTAGACAATATAGGCCCCTCCCTTCCATTGTATGCAATGCATATTTTACTGTGTAATAATACTATAACAAATTCAATATAATCTTATAATCTTTTTGATATATAATATAATTATTTTAAGGGAAAATTGTATATAATAACAAACTATTAATTCAAATTAAATGCTATAAATATAGTTTGATTTAATTGTACCTCATAGCAAACTGTTGTTATTTCACCTCTCCTGGTGAATCTCGCTCGCCATTCTCGTTCCCTTCCTCGCCTCTCTCGTTTTTATACAAACGCAAGTGTATAAAGTGCGTTTGTGTTTGTATAAAGTGCGTTTGTGTTTGTATAAAGCGAGAAAAATTGTATATATACATATACTTTCGTTCCCCTCTCTCCCCTCTTCCAGATCTCGCTTGCCACTCTCCCAGATCTCGCTTGCCACTCTCCCAGATCTCGCTTGCCACTCTCCCAGATCTCGCTCTCTCACTCGCCTCTCTCACTTTATACAAAAAACGCAAATTGTATAAAATGCATTTGTGTTTGTATAAAGCAAGAGAAAATTGTATATATACATATATTTTCGTTCCCCTCCCAGATCTTGCTCGCCACTCTCCCAGATCTCTCTCTCTCACTCGCCTCTCTCACTTTATACAAAAAACGCAAATTGTATAAAATGTGTTTGTATTTGTATAAAGCGAGAGAAAATTGTATATATACATATATTTTCGTTCCCTCTCTCCCCTCTCCCCTCTCCCAGTTCTCGCTCGCCACTCTCCCAGATCTCACTCTCTCATTTAAACAAAAACGCAAATGTATAAAATGCGTGAATATTGTATATATACATATATTTTCGTTCTTCTCTCTCCCCTCTCCCAGATCTCGCTCGCCATTCTCCCAGATCTCACTCGCTTACTCGCCTCTCTCACTTTATACAATTGATCTTTTTGTATATATATACCAAAGCAGATTATACAACTGCTTTCTTTTGTATGTGTATAGCGAAGTATACATATTTATGTTTGCTATGGAACGTAATTATGCAAATTTTGCTATAACATACAAATATGAATTTTGTGTTTGTTGTATGTGAAAGTTACTCTTTTTTTAATCATACATAAAAAAAAATTTAACGTGAGTATTCATATAATTTTATTTAAGTTCATTAATATAAGTATAATAATTCTTATAAATTTGCCACATTATCTTATGCTATTTATTTTATATAGTTTATACTTTAATATTACATCTCTTAAATCAATTTTGAGAGTTGAGACCAAAGTTTTGGTCCAAACTTACTCAAAATCGGTCCAATTACCCTCCAGCCCGGCCCATATCCTAAACTCTCTCTTCTCCCTTCAACTCGTTCTTCCTCTCGTCTTCTCCGAGAAACGAGCCAATCGTTTCAGAACCAGCGTGATCAGGGCGGCTTAATAGAATGGGTAGTATAAAGTCAAAATTTAGAAAAGAAAATTATATTTATTTAATTTCTTATATATATTTTACTTTAATAAATTCAAAAAAATTAATTAATCTGTACAAAATTATTCTGCACTCATGCCCTAATATACTCTTAACATCCACCTTTTGGCTCAAAAATATTTTCGATGGTAATTCTTTGGCTCATATTTGCCCTTATTTTAATAGCTCCCTTAAAATAAAAATTATAAAATATTTATTTATTATATTGTTTAATGTCATTGGTCCAAATTTAAACCCTTCTCAAATATATAATAAAATTGATATTTTTAAAATTTTGTTTTCTATAAAACCACTTATGATTCATATTTTGATCTGATATACTAGAAAATAATATTGAAAAAATAATTAATTTCATGATATTTTTCTATTGACCTATTTTAAATCAACCCTCAATTTATTATACCGTAACTCAACTCATAAATGGGGATCCAACTCACATGTTTATATTCTTTTAATTTGTATTATTGTTATGGTGGAATGAGGGTGGGGATAGGAGAAATAATTATTTTTATTCTTTTATTTTGAATTTTGGATACACACAAAAGAAAAATGTAATATTTGTACATGTTTGCTTAATTAAGTCATCTTTTATTGAACTAATTATTTCTATATGAATGCATCGTTATATTCCTCAATTTTCTCCCTTGTTTGTCATAAATTGAAAAAATAATAATTAAATGGTGGACAAGATCCAAATAGAAAAAAATGGAAGAGATAGGAAGTGAAGGGCGGGGGAGGTGTTGAGAGTTGATGTCTAACCTTTTTTTTTAATTACCATGAAACTCAAAATCAACTCAATCACTTGAGCTTATATATTAAGTAATTTTAAATTATTTTAACAGAAATTGGCCTAAAATACCTTTAAATTATGAGATTTGGTACAATATTGCCCTTCATCCACCTAATGAGTATGATCCGTTAGACATAAGGATATTTTTTAGCTAGAAGGTTAACGTCAGGGTATTTGGAGCCCAAAAATAAATGAAGGGTAATTTTATATCAATTCAAATAATTGAGGGACATTTTAGGCCCTTTTCCATGTTTAATTGATCGTATAACATTTTTTTGTAATATTGTATTATACATGCTTTGTTTATTTGAATACATGCCTTCGCCACCATCAATATTGTGATCATGCTCTGTCTATTTGAGCACTGCCATCCTTGTCAGAGTCGTTTAAACTCGTTTAGCTTGTCAAAATTGGCAGCACACTTACATGTTAACTATTTAGCTTCACCAACATGGGTTGTGGTGCACTGGTAGGAGCAATTCACCCTTAATCAGAGATCTCGGGTTTGAGTCCTGGATATGGAGAAAATTTTGTTGGAAGCACCACCCCTGAATGTCTTGTAGAGTGCAATTTAGATTTAGTCGGAGCTCCAATATGGGTTCCGGACACCGGGTAAAAAAAAAAAAAAAACTATGAGAGTTATAGAGCGCGATTTAGATTTAGTCAGAGCTCCAATATGGGTTCCGGACACCGGGTGAAAAACCAAAAAAACTATGAGAGCTTCAACTTGCATTTTTCGTATGAATAATTTCTCAAACACTTTGACAGTTCCAAAGCTCTATTTGGTAAAAACTCGATTT